TTTATTTTTTAGTGTTTATGCTTTAGGTTTCTACGGTCCAGTGTCTTAGCCTCTAGGGTTTTGGTTTTAGATTTAGGATTCGGTGTTTGAGGCTTCCGGGCTTAGGTCTATCGTTTAGGGTTTAGGATCTAGTGTTTAGCGTTTTAGGGGTCAGGGTTTAGTCTTAGGGCTTAGGGTTTAGGGATTTAGGGTTCAGGGATTAGGTTTATGGCTTAGGGTTCAAAGGTTAGGGTTCAAGGGTTCAGGGGTCAGGGTTTAGGTTTAGGGGTTAGGGATTCAGGTTTCATGGTTGAGGGTTTAAGGGGTTAGTGTCTATGGGTTAGGATTTAGGGTTTAGGGGTTTGGTTTAGGGTTTAGGTGTTTGGTTTTGGCCTTAGGTTCTCAGGTTTACGTGTCAGGGTTTACGTTTCAGGGTTCAGGCTCTACCGTTTAGGGTTTAGGTTTAGGGTTCAGAGGTTAGATTCATGTTTCAGGTTTTCCAGGTTTTTATTGTTTAGGTGTCCGCCTTCAATTTCCAGAGCTTAGGTTCAGGATTTAGCTGTCCGTTTGGGGGTTTCTTTGCTTACGGTTTCGGCTTCATGTCTTAGGCTTCACGTTTCAGTTTCAGGGTTTAGGGTTTAGGGTTTAGTCCTTAGTTCTCAGGGTTCAGCGCTCAGGGGTTGGGTTTTGGTTTAGTATTTTTGCTGTTACAGCCTACTTTGTAGGGTTAGGATGTCTGTTCCCTAGTGTCTTGTCCCTATAGCCTTGGGCTGATGTTTTCAGTTCAATGCCTAAGATCTATGGTTTATGAGGTCACATGTTATAGCTTATTGTTCAGGATCTAGATGATGGAAGTTATGCTTCATATCTCATGCCTGGGTGCTCCGGTTTTAGGGTTTCGTTCTCAGCTGCTGGTTCTTGCTTTCACGTATCCTGTCTAGGGTCTATGCTTTCATTCATCAGGGTCCAGTGTTGAGTTCCTGTTGCTTGAACTTATGTTTCATGTTTTAGGATTTAGTGGTCAGGTTCTACAGTTTAAGTCTAAGACTTAAGCTTTACCGCCTTAGTTTCACGGTTTACGGTTATTGTCTACGGCTTAGGTCTCACGGTTTGGGGCTTAGGAGGTACGGTTTCTGGTTTTCAGTGCAGGGCTTATTCTCTAATCCTCAGTGCCGTATGGTATACGATTTAGGTTTGTTGTGTCCAATGTTATGTTATAGTTCTTATTGCTCAGGAGTTACGATTTATTGCCTGCTGGTTATTGTCTATCTTCTAACGTTTACGTTATATCCATGAGTTTCTTCTCATATGGACTTTTTCTTAACATTCAGGGTCTCATTCTTATCTTTAATGATCTAGGTTGCAGCTTCCAGGTAAGGGGTTTATATTTTAGGGATTGGGTGGTATGGTCTAATCTCCACTCTCGAGGGTAGAGTGCTTATGCTTAGTTTTCATCATTCATGCCCGGGGGGGTACATGTTTCGTTATTTGATTTAATCTTAGGCATAATTCTTCGGCGTCAGGTCACAGATATGAGACCTAGATTGTCATTTAGGTTCTTGAATTTATTGCCTACCGTTTATCGCTTAAACTTATAGGTGCTGATACCTACTCTTGTGTCTTTCTTCCGTGTTTTAGCTTTTATTTGTTGTGAGCTGTTGTTTTATGGATGAGCACTTATCTAGAAATCCCCGGGGAGGATTTGCATCATTAATGATGGGTTGCTTCTTTAGTCTTTAGGGTCTTAACTCTACGGTTTAGGCTTTAGATTTCGATCCTATAGTATAAGATTTAGGGTTTAGGACCTATTTGGTTGTAACTAATTTTGACTCTCAGGGTCCTAACTTTACGCTGTACAGTTTGGGGTTCTGGACTTCATGTCTCATGGTTGGGCTCTAGCTCGCGCCTTTCAGTTGCGGTTTGGTGCGGTTACTTCTTGCGTGTACTGTAGAGATTTACTGTTGTTGCGGGTATCTTTACGGCTCTGGGTGCACTGTCAGTTTTAGGCTTCAGTTTCTTGTTTTATCGCCGGAAACTGCGTGATTATGTTGTATATTTCAGCGCTTGATCGTTACATTTAGTTACTTTATGTTTTACCTGTTAGGTTCAAGGTAGAACGTTCCGGATTTTGGGATTCACGTCCTATATTTTATTGTTCATATTTTTGGTCCCTCGCCCCCCTTCTAATTCTTCATCTTTCAGGTTTCTTTGGGTAGTTCTCAGGTGTGTATTGCACATTTATTTTTTATCCCTATGGCGGATACTTCTTGAGTTCAGCTCAATGTCTATTCTTTAGTACATGTTGGCTTATTTCTGGCTCTGTATAGTTATTGGTTATCGCTCTTCCTTGTAGGTCGCACTTCTTAGTGTTCATCCTTTAGGGGGTATCCTCTATGCTACACTGTTAACCTCTTCGTTGCAGGATTATCGGTCTTGACTTTAAGGCTTTGCCCTGTTTTGTTAAATCGTAGGCTTTAACTTTCATGGGGTTGGGTGCCTGTTTTATGGTTTAGTGAGGATGAAGTGTGCTTCATGCATTTAGGTGCACATGCATTGCTTAGGCGTGGAGGTGGGAGTTTTACGGTGTTGCTTTATTTTGTCAGTTGGGTCCCGTTTCTATCATCATATTTTGTGGATGGCATATTTGGTTATTTCTCCCCCTGTTTTTGGGTTCTTACGCATTAGTTCTCTCCTGTTACTGCTTGTCTTTGTGTTCTATCCGTTTTCCCTTGTCTTTGGCCAGCCCGTGGTAATTCGGATGTCTCATAGTCTATGGAATAGCTCTAAAGAGTACAGTTGGTTTTGGAGGGTTTACCCCTGCTGCTCTTTTTTTAGGTAGGTACTGTATGGATTGATGCTGCATTGTGTAAGCACCTGTTTCACGTGGTTTTTATTCAGGGTACGGCTGTTGCTGCTTATTTGTTGCTTCTGATGGTACCATGTGTTTCTTTGCACCCTTTCCTCTTTAATGTTTAGGATTGATGATTCGTCTCCTATCTCCATGGTGTCATTCCTGAGTTTACGGGTCAGGGGTTATCCTCTACTTGTACACCGGTTTGGTTAAGTGTAGTGTTGGGTAGTCCCTTTTATCCTTTAGTCTTCACCCGTATGGTACGATAAGTAACTGTAGACGCCTGAGGCTGACTAATTAGGCCCTAGTAGCCTTGTGACCATCTTCAGGGGTTTACGATCTAGGGTCTAGTGTTGGTGTCGTATTTTTTGGGGTTTAAGCTTCATATTACATGGCTTAGTCATCACCGTCCTTGATGAGATTCGTGGCTTACGGTATACTAGTACCCTCTACTTTTTATGGGTACGGTTAATTTTTTACATGTTTTGCCTTATTCTGGCGTTGTCGTCCTATTTCCTACCGGCTTAGGCTTAGGATCCTGTTTCTTATCTTGACGGTGTACGCCTCATATTTCATGTTTGCTGATCCATCTCTACTTTGTACCCTTGAGCGAATACCTTTAGCGATTATTCCTCTCTGATGAAATTTACGGCTGTTGGTTCACGTGTTATGTTTACGCTTTATAGTGTATGTGTACTGCGCACTGCCCAGGTGTATCTGCTATGCCTCAGGCTGCAAGATGCTGTTCTGTATTTCCTCTTATTATTCTTCAGGTTATCCCCCCGGGGGGTCTTGTGTTAGGCATCACGGGTAGTTGGTACAGTTGTTAATTTCTGGCGCCATTCTGTATTGCTTGTTTATTAGTTTTTATGGTTTTGATATGTGTTGTATTACTCGATTTCCAAGGTCGAGTTTTTGGGGTGCATGATTTAGTTTTCAGTCTCTATGGTTAAAGGCTTTTGCTTCCTTTTCCTGGTTGTGTCATCAGCCTCTAAAGTCTATTCTTTACGGTTAGACATTTAATGCTGTCGGCTTTGGAGTTACAGTCTGGATGTTATGCAGCAGCTCACAAGCATCATTGCTGACTCTGAGTCTTCCGGTGTTGTGTTCCCCTCTCGGCTTTACTTTATTATTTCCTTGTCCCTGTGGTAATCTTGTGCTGTTTGGTTTTTTTTACGGTGCCTTCTCTTACTTTCTCTCTATGGTGTCTTTTTAGAAGTCTGGGAAGATAGAAGAAGAGATATATTTGTAGATTCCTTATTATTCTCCCTATACTCAACATATCTTAACCGTGTTATTATAAAGATACGGAACAGTCAATGTTCAGACTCTGTCTGTTTCCTTCATTGAGATATATACAGAGGGACAACAGTTTTAATGATATAGTGCTATTCCCTTTCTGTTTTATTCTCATCCCTTCCCCATAGGATATATTTGTAAAAACCGAGAGTCATACATGCAGCGATGACGCGCCGAACTATAGAGCACATATTCATCTATATTAATGTTAATCTATACTGTTGTAAGATCTGTTGCCCGTGAGTTGTCTCTTACATACAAATGTGTATCCTCCTGTTCGTCTATGTGACTAGTGAATCTGTCTTAATAATATGGATATTATGGGAGGGGTACAGAACACGTCTGTTTCTTCACGACTCTTTGAAGGTCCTTATTGAAATGTGGCAGCCTAAGTTGAATGATCTGTATTTATCACTTGATTTCTTGCTTCTACAAGGAATTCATACAATGGACTTCCGAGTACAGGCGGTTATAGGAGAGTATTGCACAACTTTTCGATCCACTCTTAGAGGACCTATGTTGTGAGTTATTAATTCCACCTGTTTGCTGGAATGCTTCTGTGCTCATAGGAATTAGATGTATATGTGACGTCCATTAAATTATCCCTTGTATTTATCTGAGGATAATAAGAGCCACAGTGACAGATATCATGCTTATTAGTGCTATTCAGGCACAACTGTCATATATTCATACTATGACTGCTGGTATTGTATCTTATATCATGAAAAACAGAGTTTATCACTCTGATATCACCGCTTTGAGATACAGACAAAAGGAGGCAGATAAATAGTATAGATCCTATTACTGCTTCTCTACAGACAGAGCTATGAAGCCATGTCAGAATGGGAGAAGATTAGTACTGCGATGCTAATTTATCTGCTTTCTCATGTACACAGATGTAAATAGCGCTCATTAGTTGGTGGCATCTCTATAGTTCATACAAAATTGCGAGATTTTTTACTTATACTTACAATATATGCCGATTATAATGTGATTACGTACAATCAATCGTTTATATTGGAATTGTCAGATTACCGTTCTGTATTAAAGTTGTGTGCAGTCTGAATAAACATGCTCTTTCTATAAAATTATATCTTTGACTATTATATATTATAGTGTATACCCGCATTGTGGAGACACTATTGGGCTGATTCTTTAGGTGTCCAATCGCAAAAATATCAGTAATTTATTGCTACTACTTGGAAGAAGGAAGCAAATAATTAGCTGCCAGATGGCTGTTAGCATGCTTATTATTAACCTTCAAGAAAATGGGTCCCCAATCTATGATAAGAATATGTTAAATGTTTTTTATTGCTTGTCAATTTGCGATATTCACTTGGTATAGCTACTTGTATGCGCATAGAGGAATTCTTCTATGAAAATTAGAAATTAATTCAGCGGAGGAATGCACCCCCTCTAAGGAAAGAAATGGGCGTCTTTCTTGTTCAGATAAAAATGTATCAGACAATCAGTGGGTTGAAAGAATCTTCTCGTGTATTTTCGCTTTACTAAAATGAGCTTCTCCCTATAATGATAGTATATGAGCAGGCATAGCCGAATTTTGTATAATTTCTCCAGCAATTGTTAATTATTTTGTCTATAAACTATTATCCGTAACATTATATAAGGGCAACTGCTGCTTATGTATGAAGAATAGTGGCATCCGGCTTAAATGTGATTATTAAGAATTATGGAGGATAGGCTAAGCGTCTATTAATATATTTTATTTGAGCGCGTTAATGTAATTATTAATGGAAGAATGTATATTTATTTATGGAGGATGTTAATGACCCAGTTCCTTCATGCAATGTAGTATTGAAATTTTATTATGCATAAAGACCGTATTCCTTCTTTCCACTAAATATCTTCGAGAAAAGTATGAGGCTCTTTATCTAAGCTGAGAACTGACAAAGTTAATATGCATATTCTACGGGGCCGCTCCTATTTCTTAATGTGAAGAAGAATGCTCAAATTAGGAGTAAATGTTGTTGGCATATGTATAAAGTAAAGTGCGAAATTCTGGTAGTGACTTAAAGATAGATTTTACTCTAACAAGGAGATCATATTAAAGAGGATATTCATAATGTTCTATTATGATACAAGACATAAACACTGTATAAATATACATTTGATTTGGAGACGGAATA